CTGTACCAAGTACGAGTAAAACGTTTCCTATCATTAGTCTGTACCAAGTACGAGTAAAACGTTTCCTATCATTAGTCTGTACCAATCCAGTTACGGGTTCGATGAAATAAAGTAATAATTCAATTCGTCAATTGAATTAAGTAAATACCTAAGTATCGTTTGTTTGTTGAATTTCGCCCAAAGTCACTCGAGGGCTATCTACGCTAGCCGTCTCTAAGTTATAAGTGATACACTAGAGGGGAGGCAGCTAGTCAACATGTTTGGTGACGGGATTCGAACTTGAGACCCGCAGATTGTAAGTCGAGTTCCCAAACCACTAGGCCATGTCAAGCCCTTCTCCAAGCTTTGAGCAACTGTGTTTACAAATTAATATCGAAAACAAATATTACGAACAGCATTTAAATCTTGTAGCTTCATATATTTCAACGCGATAACCAAATATTTTAACCTCTAAACAACTGAGCTGTGGATACTTACATTTAAGTTTTACAATATGATATTTAAAAGAATAAACAATTAATTGTTTAAAACATAAACATTCATTTTTTCTCTCGTATATTTTAGATGGACAATCCAGCTTATTATAACTCAGAAGTTGGACTTACCATTCCTCCTCATCCACAGAAGAAGCCCTTGAAAAAGACCAGGGACGCCCCGGAAAGAGCTACATTAGAAAAGCATCCTTGTTTAAGGCTCTGGAAACTACATTTCAAAACTAAGGAGGCGTCACGTTACCGCCGCACGGTGGCGCTGTTTCTTGCTCTCGTTATCCTTCTTATCGTGCTCATTGTTGGTATTGCTCTGGCAATTTATATATCTGGTAAGTTCTTAATCATTTTACGAATGTGATAGGTTTCAGTTTTGTTTTCTTAATCTAAGAACCATACTACTTAACTAATACCAGCTTCTGAGTTTTAAATAGATTTTTTATTTCTAGTGGTTTATTTCATCAAGCCCCCCAGTGGCACAGCGGTATGTCTGCGGACTTACAACGCTAGAAACCGTAGTGGGCAGAGCACAGATAGCCCATTGTGTAACTTTGTGCTTAATTCCAAACAAACCAAACCAAATACTTTATCAAGTTTATGACAGTTTTTACGTAATTCCACGAGACCAATAAAGGTGGAAATAATACCTGAAAAGTAAAATAAGTATATCTGTTTTCACTTGTTCGATTGTTTGTTTATGGAAAAGCTACTAAGGCTATCTACCACCAGAAGGAAAGCGAACGGCCAGCAGCATCCACCGCCAAACCTTGGACTACTATTTACTATCTAATATTGGGTTTGACCATCACATTATAACGTCCCCACGACTGAAAGGGTGAGTATGTTCGATTCCACAACCCCTCAGATTGCGAGTCGAACACCCTAATCACCAGGCCCAGTTGTTTGAACGGATAAGATTGTAACAAACTGCATTAACAGGTTTACTCTTTCATACAGTAGAAAACACGCTCGATTTGATGGCATAGGAAAAAAAACACACCATCGGTTCTAGCCTAATTAGGCCTAATAGTAATACGAATACGTTATCTGCCAAATGCAAATAATTAATAATTTATAAGATATATCATACATAGAATCGAGCTGAAGTAAAAAGGTGTCTTCACGTTTTTTTGTTTGTTTGTTTTTTGTTTGTTGGTTTGTTTTGAATTTCGCGCAAAGCTACACGAGGGCTATCTGCGCTAGCCGTCCCTAATTTAGCAGTGTAAGACTAGAGGGAAGGCAGCTAGTCATCACCACCCACTGTCAACTCTTGGGCTACTCTTTTACCAACGAATAGTGGGATTGACCGTCACATTATAACGGTTGAAAGGGCGAGCATGTTTGGTGGGACGGGGCTTCGAACCCGCGACCCACAGATTGCGAGTCGAGTGCCCTAACCACCTGGCCTATCTCGGCTGTGGCTACCACAGGAATTGATCCTCGAATCTTAGTGCTAAAGCCCTTAAGATTACCTCCGAAACCAGTAGGAATGACAGGATGTGTTTGAAATTGTCTGTCTTAATCCTACCGCTTCACTATAGATCGAGTAAAAATAGATATGAATTTGTAAACCACTTTTTTGTCTGAATAAGACCGTTCATATCCAAATATTGATAATGAAAACAAGAAGAATGCCGCTTCTCCCCTCCCTCACAGTCCTGCGCACGTGACAAGGAAGTTACAGACTCCGTGTCTTTGTTTGTTGTCGGATATTCGCGCAAAGCTCGTCGTGTGTTTGTTTTGTTGAATTTCTCGTAAAGCTACTCTAGCGCTACCTGCCGTACCTTATTTTGAAGTGATAAACTAGAGGGAAAGCAGCTAGTTTAATAGTACCCACCGCCAACTCTAGGGCTACTTTTGTCTGAGCAAATAACTGGATTTAACCGTCACCCTCATAACGCAGCCATGAACCTAAAGTAGGGATTGCACTTTTGTTTTGCGCTAACAAGCGGAATTACGACCAGTTTCGACAAACTAAGTGTTTGAACTTCATTAGTGAAATTTCGCTATTTTACTTTAGACATTAATAAAGCTGTATCATTGTACGTAGTAGTAGTAAAATGCGATCTATAAAAAAACGGCCCTTCAGTGACTCAGCTGTAAGCTCGTGAGCTTATAACGCTAAATATCGAAGATTAATACCCGCCCTGGGCACATCGCAGATAGTTCATCGTGTAGCTTTGTGTTTGAGTACAAAAAGTGTTTAGCTTAACTGGAAAATAAATGTTCGAAATTTGTAGAACAGCTCGAAAAATCAACAATTTTACACCTTGCTTAAATTATTGTATTACAAAAGAGATACTAACAGATTCAGTTACTTGTGTAACTTGTCTTTAGATGTGGTGAAAAGATAACAAAGGAAAAAAAAGATAACACTGTTTGTTGAATTTCGCGTGAAGCTGCTCGAGTGCTATTTACGTCTAGCCGTCCCTAATTTAGAAGTGGCGAGGAAGCTAGTTAACGTCAGCAACCGCCAACTCCTGAGTTACTCTTTACTAAAAGTGGGGTTTTCTATCACATTATAATGCTCCATGACTGATATGACGAGTATGTTTAGGAACGGGATTCGAACCTGCGATCCACAGATTGCGAGCCGAACGTTCTAACCACCAAGCCAGATTAAACTCAAGAAAGACATAACGTGTCTTAGACAAACGAGACTTTTTGTGATTAAATGTCTGTCTTTGATTCTCAACAGTAACAAATATTTTATTGTTTGTTTGTTTTTAAGCGCAAAGCTGCACGATGGGCTAGCTGCGCTCTACCCACCGCGGGTATAAAACCCCGATTTTTAGCGTTATAAGCCCTCGGACTTACCGCTGAGTCACTAGACCTGGAAGCTTACGTATAACAAATACAGTATTTATCTCTGTATTTACATATTTTGAACTACAGACCAGAGAGTCGACAGCACCCTTCCACCAACCATCTACGCTAAGGGATCGACTCTCACTCTTATATCGCATCCACAGCTTAAAGTGCAGGCAATATTTTGTGGTATGGCACGGGTTAAAATCCGGCTCGCCACCTCCGAATCCAGAGCTGTTGTTTTCTTAGTGAAAAGCTACACAATGGGCTATCTGCGCTGTGACAACCACGGGTATCGAACTCCAGATTTTAGCATTGTAAGTCCATAAAGTTATCGCTGATCCAGAACCTTACCACAGAGCCAACCCGTACTCACAATATTTACCATCTAAGTTGCTTAGGATAGGGGGTAATGGCCATAGGTAATTACATTAAGAGGCCACTTGATATTCAAAGGCACCACTGTCATGCAAGAACTGGTCTCAGATTATGAGGTTTGTATGGGGTACATACGCTAGAATTATGTTTTAACTCATACAAATTGAATTATTGAGTCATAGCGCGCCTGATATGTAACAGAAGAACTTAAAAAGTATGACCTGGCATATTATGCAAAGGCTTCTTCAAGTTGGTGTTATTAGACGTCAAGGGCGTATAATCTACATAATTAACCAACCGGAGTTTTCCATCCTGTGTTGAAATTGACAAAATATTCGATATTTCGTGCCCAACTTAAAAAACACGGGCCTGTGATGGTTTCATTGTCTTGAAATGTTTACATGTCCTACAGTAATTCCTGTATGCTGAATCCGATATCCATTTTTTCTCCATCACGTACAGTTTGTTTGTTTGTAATTAAGCACAAAAT